GGCTCGGCCATCCAGCCAGTTCTTTACCCATATATGCAACACAGAATCATAGAATGGTTTGGGTTGGAAGTGACCTTAAAGATCACCTTGTTCCAGCCCCCTGCCATGGGCAGCGACACCTTCCACTAGACCAGGTTGCTCAAAGCTCCATCCAGCCTGGCCTTGAACACTTCCAGGGACGGGGCATCCACAGCTTCTCTGGGCAACCTGTTCCAGTGCCTCACCACCCTCATAGTGAACAATTTCTTCTTTAAATCTAATCTAAATCTACCCTCTTTCAGTTGAAAGCCATTACCCCTTGTCCTATCATTACATGCCCTTGTAAGAAGTTCCTCTTCAGCTTTCTTGTAGGCCCCCTTTAAGTACTGGAAGGCTGCAATAAGGTCTCCCCGGAGCCTTCTCCTCTCCAGGCCGAACAACCCCAACTCTCTCAGCCTGTCCTCATAGGAGAGGTGCTCCAGCCTTTTGAACACCTTTGGGATCCTGTAAGAATTTTTTTACTGACCACCTAGCAAAATAACATACCACTATAGCTGAAATATAAACAGAAAATATTTTTCAACTAAGGACATTCCAGGGGAGAAGGTTTACACGTAAAAGGAAGAAGATCAGAAATTACTTTGAATAAAAACTACCAGAACTATGAACTAAGGCTCAAATATTCAGAAGATACCTAAGGTCCTAATTCTCACTGACATTAGTGGTATTGGGTCCCTAAATACACATACATGTGCCATTTGATGACCTGGACTTTAAACACTTACTGAACGTCAGGGGACTTAAGTATTTAATGTCCACTTCAGTGGGCATTGGGGGTGGGGTACGGGTGCAGGAATCTTTCATTACGTCAAAGAGAGAAGTTATTTTCACAGTTTGTAACTGTGCATGATCAGTGAAAAAGTTAATAAAAGGATTTAACACATATAAATGAAAAATCAACCACTGAGGTGAAGCAGGAATAACACCGTAAGTATCCTTATGATAAAATTGCTCTTACCTGAGCATTTCAGACTCCGAGCCAGCTCAGTGGCCATCACCTGAATGATCAGACCAATGCGGAGCCTGAGCATATCCACAAAAAGACTAGGCTGTGACCGGACGTACATTGCCAAGTACGTAATTATTTCCTGTAAGGACAAATCCATAAGGGCACCCATTCAGAGTGGGTCATCTTGGCTCCCCCAGTCACAGAGCAGACACTGGTGCACACTGGGCACAGCTGGATGTTGGGAAAAAGGGTTCTCCCTTTTTACACATGCTGCATACCTGTGTCAGGACTGCAATACTGATGTCTTGGCCACTTGCTTCGTAAATAAGATCTGTGAGCTCCTCAGGTGGCAGTGGGCTGCAAAAAGGCAAACCACAGTTAGCAGTGACTCAGGCACCTGCTATTAACCTCTTGAAAAAGCAGCAGAGCCAAGTCACCCAGAAACATCTTTGCACCGCAAAGGTGCCTATTATTCTGCCTGGGTGACTGCAATTCCTTCTGAAGGTGAGGAATAAGTTTTAAAACAAGATGATAGCAGCAGAACAGTACCGGCAGGAAGCTGAAGGGCACGCTGCTTCTGTAACTGAGGCAGAGCTTCAACTTACGCGGTAATGATTTTCTCACGGGGTTCTGGTGGCAGGCCCACTGTAAGTTGCTTGTGGTGTGACAGAAGGTCTGTGCATGCCTATCAATGCGACAGAAAGCAAGAGACCTTTCTCTGAGTCATGTGGAAGTGATACAGCTTTTAATCCCCAAAATGAAGCATTTCTTTAGCAATTTTTAAGTGCACTTCTATTAACTACCGGATGCAGATTCAGCAGAATGCTCTTAACTAGTTGCCAAAGATCCCCTGAGGTCAACAGGGCTATGAGAGTCTGCCCAGGCTGAAATCCTGCTTCCCTGCTCTGTGAAATCAGCAACATAATGGTTAGGGACTCCAGTGAGGCTGGCAGATCAATAAAGGACTTTATCCTTTACCATAAGATAAACACTTGTTCTTTATTTAAATAAAAACAAAAAATACTTTGAATCAATGAAAAATTTGGTGTACTAATATATCTCTTAAAAATACAGCTTAAATAAACATATTTCTTAAAAAAAAAACAAACACAGAACATATTGCATCACATTCTTGAATTAGTCACCCTGATACATTCTGAAATCGGTGCTTCCTCCAGTGTTTTACTCTTTTATATCGAGCTCCTTCAAAACTGGGTGTTCAGTTTACCTGCTTTAAGCATCTTGAATCAAAGACCTCACAGAGCAATGTTCCTCTGATTTTGAAGGGCCTATTTTCCCCTCCCTTAATGTGGGACAAAATGGATCATCCCTATTCTTTTCCTCCTCAATTTGTTGTCAGTATCTTCACAATTTAACATACACGGCTTTCAGTGAGCATGTCTGTACTGCTCGTCCATCTTATCTTGGGGATGGAAAAGGTTGGCCTTAATGAAGTACCATGCAAGGTAATTATCACAAGTTGCTCCCCACAGATATGACTGTCACTAAAATAGGGCACCCTAGGTGTGACAGGCAAAACTTTGAAAATGGCCAGGAATTAGAGAAAGAGCTCTACATAAATATGCAGGTGTAAGTAGGAAATTAAACAAATACTTTAGAGTATGTGAGAAGAAACATTTTTGTAATGTTCACAATCAAATCTGTACCCTTAGAGTGGATCTTTCTTGTTACCGGTAAATAGTTGCGGATATTTTAACACCTCCGTACATCCACATACACTCACACAGCGGATGTCTGCCCAATGGGACGGGTATCGTCAGGTCATGTTTTAGCATCATTTCTAGCACCATGACATACTGGTGCTCCAAAACTGTTCACGCTATCGCAATAGCAATAGACAATTAGCAATGACAACTACAGTTTTCAAAGCACATAAGCTTCTCTGATTAACAGGGATGACACAAAGCCTTCACAATCATTTACAATGTGACATTCTCAGTCCATGCCAACATTAGCTCAGTTCGCAGTACAGATGAAAGGTAAAGATGTCGTAACAAGCTTTTAGATGAGAAAAGCAATCGATATTTACATATGATGTAAGACCAGAAGAAGGCAAGCACAAGCCCCACTGGCAAACTGGTAGCTTTATCTCTTGTTTCCAGGCAGGAAACTGAACCAGCATTATTTATATTTCATACCTCAGCCAGGACTTCCACTCTCTTTTTGAGTATACCAGAAATATAACGGATCAAGCCCCACTCTTGATTGAGGCCTGCCTTTCTGTAGAGCTCGTTGAGTAGGCAATGAACAGTGACGCCGTACTGTCCATCCAGCTCTGTGTCCCAGTCAGCACCTCTGCCAGAAAAGAGAGAGAAGGTAACTTTCACCAGATAAAACGCTACACTGCTTAACCTTACCACACCATGAGCAGCCTGATTTGGAACAAATTGCTCATTTTGGTGCCAGACTTAAGAAGTACAAAGGCCATGCAGGTCTTCACCAGAGATCGATTATATGTAGACAAAACCTTTTGATACCAGGAACTTGAGCACTCACTTAGCTGTCACCCTGTGAGTTCAAAGCAACTACCCAAGGGACTTCCCACTAGGCTTTAAATTGAGTATGCACGCAGACAGTTTGCTGGAGGAACGCTCCATGTGGTGCTTTTTCAGGGCAGAATTCAGCAATGTCTTCAGTACTGCTGAAGACTGCACCCATTTTTCAGATGCGGTGGGGGTCTCTACAAGCTTTTTTGCCCTGCCTCTTTCTTAGCTATTAACTAAGCTTCCACGCTGCTTACGCCATTACTAAAAAAGCAAAGGAGATTTCTGTTCCTCTCCTGGTTTTGAAACTCACTGCATTATGGCTTCTTGTTGACAACATTTTAAAGCATCACGGAATGACCCTTCAACTCCTCCTAGAGAAACAGATTACACCAGAAGCCCACCCGCCTGCCCAGCAGAGACTCCCAAGTGAAACACGTCCAGAACAGGAAATGAAGAGTGTTACATGCAGTTAAACAACAAAATATTTTTTCAGGATTTCCTTGAGGTTGCTGAACATTCTGCTTGGGAAAACAAGAAGATCAAAGAAGAGGTCCTCACAGGAGAACAACTGAAATAAATAAAAAAATACATCTCTGTAGCAGTAAGGAAGACCATCTGTGATTAACACACGCTTGTCTTTGCACCCAAAGCTCATGTCCTGCCAGATTCCAGCAGTATTGTCCTGCACAGGAAAAAAAGCCCAATAAAAATGTATTCAATCGGTTTGTATTTGCATTTTGTTCCCATCAAACCTATTTAATGAGCAGTTGTTTATTAACCCCAGCAACTCAGGTTAGACTGTTTCCAAGAATGTCGGAGAACACCGAGTTTTAGCCGGTGATGCATTTAAGCATGCAGAGGGATGAGAGGGAAAAATAGTGACTACTCATTAAAACTGCATTTTGCTTTTAGTTAAAAAAAATGAAAAGATGACGTTTCCCTCCACTTCCCTTCTTGTGTATAAAAATCACACCAAATCTTTGTGAACTTAACAGTGACACAGATATAGCAAGGTATGTTCACTGATGTAAAGGACTTGTGCATTTCACTTGTGAACTTTGGACCTTTATGTATTCGCAGTTGTGTGCCAGTCAACTCTGAAATCTGCACAAGTGTTTTTTGCATCCAAATTATTTATGTAATCAAGCAAACTGAAAATATGCCTGTTAAAGCACAAAATATTATTTTAACCTCTCCCCTCAAAACACAACCCTGAACAGTGGAAATTGCACAGCAATAATCAGATAGTTGTGACCAACTATAAACATGCTGAAGTTTATACTTAGATAACTCACTTTAGTATATGCAAGATATATAAAATATCTGCTTGATCATGGAGCGTTGGGCATTCCTTGAGCTGCTCAACAAGTTTCCTGCAATCCCAATCACCATGAGCATCTTTAGGTAAGTGCAAAACATTTTCACAGTCCTGATAACAAAGACAGATGAAAAATCAAAGAAATGGTCTTGAAAAAGTAGTAGATCAAATTCAAACTGTAACCTCCCATTAAAGAATACAACACACAAGCAACATGACTCTGCACTTGAAATACAGACACAGCATGTAGTTCTTCTCAGACTACTGCAGACATAAAAAGCAGACTTGTCTGTTTCCAGACTTTGGAAACAACACCCAGAATGGAACTGTGTCTCTAGTTTTGATTCAGTCAACAAGGAAAACAATTTTTTTGACAAAACAAAAAATATTTTGTTAAAGAAGGAGATCAAATTATTTGCATGCTTTTTCCTGTTACATACTGTTACTTCGGAAGAGAAAAGCAGATGGACGCTACCTTTTGTTAATTGAAATATTTAAAGCTTTTTAAAGCTACCTTTTGTTAGTTGAAATATTTAAAGCTTTTTGAGTTCCATCTCTCCACCTGTAATGTGTGGTGTTTTATGAATGCAGATGTTGCCATCATAAATTTTCCAAGCTTATGAAACTAACATTTTAACTAATCAGATGATGCTCCCCTGCTGAGTTCTTGGATTAAGAGTTTTGTTTAATATGCTATTCAGCAAGTGATATGGTCCTAAAATAGCATTTCCACAAACAAAGCCTGTAGAGCAGAATCTTTCTGGAGGCTGGATACAACCTCCTGAAACCATTCGCAGCAGCTGGTCACATGTACTAAGACAAAACAAGTGCTCAGCACAAACCCATCTTCATGCCTTGTAGTGGGATCTGGCTGGTGCCTTAAGGACACCTGTCCTTCCGCACACTCCCCTCCTGCCTAGGCATTACTATAAGTAACATTTCTTGAAGAACATCTCTAAAGGCCATGAACATCCTGTCTTTCGAGTATTCAGTTAGAACTAAAAATGATGACTTAACCTTTGGCCTTTAAAAATAAGCACCTATTATATTATTTTCTGTTTGGCACACACAATTAAATATTTTCCACTTGATAATGTCTATTTCACCAAAAAAACTTCACCCAACCAAAAAATAAATTCCAAAACAAGGGAGTAGCTATCTGGTGCCTCAGGCAGAATGGTTTGTCTGTGAAGAAAAATGAGAACTAGCACAGGGTTTGTCTGGGAAACACAGCAAAGGCTACAGTATTAGGTCCTAAAAACACAAGCAGCATAAAAATTCCCATAGATTACCTTTGTCTCAAAGAAATGGGGATTATCAACAAGATTCAGAGACTTCCGGTGTGTGTTCAGAACTTTAGTGGGAAGAGACACAGGCACAGCTGGAATGCAAAGCAACCAGAAAAAAAACAGTCCATTTCAGTAACATGAAAACTGAAAACACCTACCATGAAGCAACTATACTAGGTAAAAACAACAGAAATAAGCCTATGAGTCAAAATATAGAGGCAACACTTCTGAGATGCTGTGCGTGGAACTGGGAGACAAGCTCACGCTCTGAACCTTATCTCCTTGCAGGCTTCATCCAAGCGCTTCTGAGATCAGCATGTCAAAGGCTCAGGTGCTATATGCTCAACTGATACCTCTACGACAGCCCATGCCTATAGCCCAGTGGCCAGACCCTGCTAAGCATTTTAAACATTTTAACAGGAAGTATGTGGCGAAAATGGTCTAACTGGTTACATAAATAAAGTGATAAAGGCTAATGTTCTGTTAGTTAATTTCATAAGTTGAATTTAATAGAGGATCAGATGATGAGGCATATGAAAGATGGGAGAAAAGACTAACAAAAAAGCTTGAAAGTTTTTAATATACACTGAAGTTAAGGGAAGCCTTCCCTTAACCATGGCACCGAATACTACATACCTACATATAAATCACTACATTTGCTGGAACTATTTACAGATTCAGTCAAAGCAGTATTTTGGTGTAAAGCCTCCAATCAGTCTATTAGAAACATATCATAATTAGGAATACTGTCCTCCCTCTCTACTCATATTTGTTCTTACAAATTTGTTAAATACATGTGCATACTTACGTTCCTCTGGTATTGAAACATTTCATTTCACCACAACTTTATTAAAATAAGAAAGTACATTTTGTCTGCCTTTGTTTATACAAAGACAAAAAAGATGAATTCACTGACTCAGGTTCAAAAATTCTATCCAACTGAGAAGTTGAATAACATTAACTTTGACTAAATGTTACATTTCATAGCACATTACCTATGTATACACCAAGACATGGGATACTGTGGGAACACTACAGGAACAACTTCAGATTCATTCTTATTTCTTGAAACTGTAACATAATTGTGCCACTAGTACTTTTCAAGTTGCAGAATTTTGAAATACTTGAACTTACCCCTATTAGCACACAAAACAGGCTTTCTATTATTACCACTAAATAAATAATAGGGAGAAATACCTGGAACCTCCAAGCCCTTTGTCTTGGCCATTATTGAGAGTATCTCCTTTGTGGAATGGTTTGCACTGAACACAGGTGGTTGATTTGCAGTCTTTGAAGTTGGAGGCAGGTATGACTTCAGTGCTGTACTCTGCAGGATGTCATTTATATATTGATCTAGCTCATCCTGGCTTTCTAGTGCGACATACATAAAAGAAAAGGTTTATTAAAGGTAAAAACATAATTTACCAGCTCTTTCTTTTTAAGCACACCACTCTCTTCTTGCTTTTAGAGCAGGGCACATAAAAATGCAAGAATATCATAAGCAAGATATTTTTAAGCTGCAGAAATCAGAAAGAAAAAAATGTCATCAGTTTTTGACACTTTGAAAACAGTTATATTAAGAAGTTGTTTTTTTCCCTTTGAAAGGAAGCAAAAGGGTTTTTATCTTGCTGGTAGTCCACAGATTGGCTCTTCACAAACTCTTGTCTACGACTCCTCACAGTCTCTTCCTCTCTCTAGCTTCTTCCATGCACCCCACCCGCTCCCCATCTGCTGACTCTTCAGACTCAGCTTTCCTGCAGCAGTTACTGGTCAACACCACACTAGAAATGTGGGAAGAATATGCACAAACACCTTCTCCAAATTAAGTCAGTCATGCATGTAATGTTCTCGGACTGATGCATGAGAAACCGGAATGACTATCAACTGTGCACAAAATAGATTCTGCACTGCAAATAAACCCAGGTCTTGCTGGTAGAACTTGACAGAAAAAAAATTTAAGTGAAAGAGAACTACCTTTTTCACAGAAGTCTGCTGGATAGCTTCCATATTCACTGTCAGGACTATTACGGCCTTCATTAGGGTCATCAAACAGTTTCACGTCGCAGTCTGGATCCAGGAAGCTCAGATACGTATGAAAAGAGGTGGTAAGAAATTCTGATAGCTTGCCGATCTTCACCCTGCAAACAGGAATGCATGCCGAAAAGCATTAACAGCCACGATTTCGATACTGATTAATACTCAATGAGCTTTCAAAACTCCTCCAAAATTTAAGAGACCTACTGTCAAATTCACCTGTGGTAACTACAAAGCAGCAGATAACTGATACTGAGAAAAACAAATGCAAAACAATAGTTGCAGGTACTTACTGCTCTAGCTACTCATTGAGCTCAGCTGTGTTACGGTAACACCTACAGACCTAACTCGGTGCCTAATTACGCAGGGTGTTGTATGTTTATATGAAGAGAGATCCTGAACAAAGACCTAAACTCCAAGGTCTTTGCATGAGAAACAGGGGCTGGGAAGTTCCCATGAACAGCAGTATCTTTTCACAGAACTGCAGTGCTGCTAAAAAACAGAAAGCACATCTGATTGTCAGAAGAAGATACAGAGAGAGAGAAAGCAGAAAGAGAATAGGGAGGTACTGTGGCATCATGTTAAATTGCTTTTGTATGTAGATGAATGGAACACATAGGCTTAAAAGTACTACATGTAATTCATGTTTAAAACATGTATAATAACTGTGAAAGATAATTACTACTTAAAAACAGAAGCCCAGCCAAGACCGAGTTTTTGTATTTACACTGGTCTGACATTTGTTTTTCCTTATCCATTAGTGGCAGTCAGAGATAGCACACCTCTTGGGAGATAGATCTTTACCACTGCATCTGAGGACCAGCTACCATCTGATTGCCACATAATAACTAAAGCTGAAACTTCTCTCTGCAGAGTTCCAGTACAAAGTCTGTGCACTATCACAAGTTCAAAACTGAGGCTTGTATAGGATTTAATAATAAAATCATGGAAAGAATCATTTTGGGGTTCTGACATTACCTTGCACCTCCAAAATAACCATCCTCTAATTTTCTTATGGTAGCAAGAACTGCTGGATGAATGTCAGTACCATCATCAACTAAAAAGAATAATGGAAGAGTTGAAGCTTACCAAAACATTCTTAAATTATCACGTCCAAATAAAGTTTGTTACGGGGTGTTCTCTACAATGTAAATCAGACAAATTTAAAACAGAACCCACAACTGCCATCAACTAGCTTATTCGAAAAACCCCAAATAAACAAGCAAACACAAACCAACCCCAAGACAAGTTCCAAAGCGATTTCTATCAAATTTCTTTGGACAGAAATAGTATGGAGATGATGAAGACATGCAAGGATATAAAGGGGGAGTAAAGCCAAAATGAAATATTACCATGTCATCCAAATTCAGCATACACTTGAGAAAGTTAAACTATTTTTCATGTTAAAACTCAGATGTTGAAACAGTCATGCCACCTGTCTCCCCTCAAACTAATTTCCATCCTACTGCCCTGCAGTAATCTACTCTGCTTGAAACAGAGAAATTTGAGTTTACCAAGCATTGTGTGGGTGATGGGAAACGTCAGTGTTGGCCTCCCTGTCATCCTCCAACAAGAAGTGAGGTAAGCTAGCTCTGTCTTAAGCATCTCCACAATCATCTGATTGTCTAGAGCCAGATAGAAGTGATGCTGGTCTGTAAACTAGAGGACAGAGAAATATGGCATATGAGTAGCTGTTAGTGCTCCGCTTATTTTTTTCCATTTCCTCCCTTAAATCATTCACAAAAGGCATGAGCTATTCTTGACTGCAATACAGACTGCATGAATTAACCTAAGGCGGCCTGCGATGGTGAAGAAGAAATCCATGCTTCTGCAGAGTCCACTTTCTCTCCAATTATCTTGGCTGACCATGAAAGAAGCCATACAAAAAGTAGAGAATCACACCCATAAAACAGAATCTTCCCAATGATGAATTACAGTAACCTATGATTTGGGAGACAGAAATACTCTGTATGTGGAAGAAAAAAATAACAATAGCAAAAGAAACCCATAAATAGCCTTAAGTGCACGCTGGGGACTGGGAACTAGTAACTGTATGTCTCTTGGGAACAATCCGAAAGTCAAGAATACAGAAAAGTTGGCAGTTACTGGGGAAAAAAAGGTACATTAAATGTACAATGGTAAAGTAGGCTGTTCCCGCTACAGAGGAAAGCCAAGAACCACAGTAAGAGACTACTATGGCTACTTCAGGAGCTGGAAACCAGAAAAGCTGGACAAACAATGGAAAGCATGTCAAAGCAGCCACAACAAAAATTAAGTAAGCACATAAGCCTTGGGAAGGGGCGGAAAAAGGAGGCTGGGATGTAAAAAAACATTAATTAATAAGACACATAATGGTCAAGGAGAAAACATCCTGTAAACACATCAGAAGTAACAGGAAAATACAGAAACTGTAGGCCTGTTAATAAAGAAAGGACGGAGGTAGAAACAGAGGATGCAGACAAGCTGAAGGATTCGATGCTGTTTTTACTGACAGAAGAAAAGTAGTGAATTATGATCTGTAATATTACTTTTCACAAAGTGATAGGAGTCCAGCCTGAGTATGGGAAGAAAAGGTTAAAGAGCACATAAATTCAAGCTGGCAAAGTCCAGAGAAATTAATGCACAGAACTTAAGGAACTAGCCAAAACAATCCCTAAGCCACTCCCAATTACGTTTTAATAACTCGGGAAGAACAAGTCCCAGAAATCGCCAGACAAGCAAACACACTGCCCATCTTTAGAAAGGAAGACCTGGGATAACATAGACCAGACAAGCCAATTTCAGTGCCTGAAAGCACAGGAAAACAAAGTCAATTTGAGACTGCTAAGATAATTACAAAAAGCAAGACGGCCAGTCATCTCAAAAACCAACCCCAGCAAACAGGTCCAGTATCCTTCTTTGGGAGCAACTAGATGGTAGGTGCAAGAAAGTGGCTGACACCTCTCAACTTTTGCAAATTTTCTCACGAGTGAGCTGAAGAAAAAACATCTGAGGAGGCAGAACTGCTTGAAAAATTGTTCTCAAAAGGCAGTTATTAACCATTTTTTCTACATAGAAGGTATCTAAATGGGGTCAGCCTCAGCCCCACACCTAATCAATGTTTTAATTAGAGAATAGGATGAAATACAAACTACAAAACCACAAAATTTGTGGACATTACTCAAGATCAACACAGATGAGTTAACGGCTAACCTTAGGAAGGTGAAATTAAAGATTAATTCCACACCCTGCCCTCTTCCCCGCCTCCCTCCCAAAAAAAGTCAGGGAGAAATGCCTGGCTACAAAGTACAACAGAAAATGTTATGGAGGTTTTAGTCAAACATGAAATAAGCAGGAACTGTCAGTGTGTTGCTGACGAAAAGATAAATGCCATTTTGGAATACATTAACAAGTATGTCCATACTTGAAACATGGCAAGATCTCAGCTGGAATATTGGGTTCTCCTTACATAGTAAGATGTGGGCAAAGAGACATTTTGGGAAAAATAATGAATCTGAGGAATTTTCCCTAATTTGCAAAAAATGAAAATTGGTGTGGGGGAACAACACAACAAATAAACAATATGTTACAAAGCTGCTTGTGGTCAGTTGACATGGGGAAGAATGGGAAGAGACCCACATTATTTGCAGTAAATCTGATGTTGTTTGGACATCATGAAGCACTGCAGAAACCACCTATGGAGTCCACTGAATGTCTTCCGCTGGAATTTAAAGACTGCATTAGCCAAACGTTATTTAGGGAGGGTGTGAGCATTCTTTATCCTGCTCCAGTTGCACATGTTTAGAGTAGATGACCCCTTGGCTTTCTAGTACCAACTGCAGAATAAGTCTACAGGAATAAGTGTGTCGTATTTCATTAAATGTATAAATAAGAACCATTAATTCTGGGAGGATCCAAACTTCCAGCTACATTGAGAAAGGCTCTAAACGTAAAAGACAGACAGAACATCCCGTTCTCAGCACTACTGAGCCTTTCAACAATATAATGAAAAGACTACATCTCAGTCTCTTGGGAGTTATAGTACTGGGCACACTTATGTGAAACTAAATTTTCCATCAAAGCAATCATTAAAAAGATATAGTAAGTGATCTATTTCTGGAGAAACTATTTCATTAGCTAGAATGTTGGTTTGGGCAGAGATCAGTAACAATTTTGTACCATTGATTTGCTGTGTTCTCCTAAGCCAGAACCAAAGAAGCCAGACTCTGTATGACAGAAGAGAGATTTATCAGCACTCCTACCATGCTGATTATCCAACGCTCTTAAAAACCACACAAAGCAAAGCGCATCTGCTTTATCAGCCCTGCTCTACCTAAAGCGGATTGATAGCACGTAAAAGCAAAGTGCTTCACTAATGATTAGCCATTAAGTAAGCAGTGATTTCCCTGCCAGCTTTACATGCTCACCTGAGGAGTAAAAGCAAATATTTGATTTCTTATCACATACAGCTTGGAGGTGCCTAACACTCCAATGTGTCGGTGTGGCCGTCCACTTAATTTCATGTTCTTGTTCCGGCCTGTAAAGAAAAGACAAAGAAAATAAAGTCACACCTAACATTTCCTGTGTGGTTTTCCACAACAATCATTCTAGACAAGATCTACTTCATTTGTATGAGCAAGGCAGAAGACAGATAAAAGAGATGCTACAGACCGGCCTGTTTTGTAGCAACCACCAATATAATAGCTAGAGTTCTTCAAAGGCCTGATTAAAAATAAAAATTTTGGCTTCACTGACCATGGAATTGGGTTATTTAATTATAGTCATTGCTCAGCATGCAAAGCTTCCCCGACAAGAAGGACAGGAGGTATGCCCTTTCAAAAAAAGGCCTTCAACATACACCAGAAATTGTAGTGCTTTCAGTGTAGAAACTGAAAAACTCTTGCCTACAGAAGGCTAAATCCAAATAAAAAGTACATCCAAATACAAAGACAGATTTTATTTCTTTTCATCAGGCAATAAGCTCCATTTTTCTCAGTAGGGCTTATTAGTGAATGATCCACCCTTTGCTCCAGCAGCCAGGAGCTGACTTGACTTGGTCTGACAAGGAATATGAGCCAAACAACACGTGCCTGAAAAAATACCACTGTGAATATTCCCAAAGAAGACACTGCTAAAAACAATACACCAATGTGTCAAATGATCCTACTCACCCCCACTAGTGAAAGAAAGCTATTCTGAATTATTATGAAATAAATGTTAGCTTCAGCAAAACACTGCAAATGTTTCATTTGTTAAAAGTTCTTTGTGATGAAAAGACAAATTCTTCCCCAAAAGCAGCACATGCAATTTCCTTTCTCCATGTAAAGGGCACACTCTCTAAGACTTAATTTGGATGCTTCCAAAAAACTTCTTTTCTTAAAACAAAAAAACCCAACAGACAACAAAAACGACCAAAATAACAAAAAAACCCTTTACTAAAGCTAGTTGTTCTGTGGAAGTAGCTGCTGCAGGACAGGAAGAGTCAGTTCTTGCCTAACTCCTAGGGTACAGGAAAACCTGTATTTTGGTCACCTTTTCTAATGAGGCAATTTTTTTTTTCTTGTTGTAGTTTCTTGTTTAAGACTGAAGTTACAATTTCGTTAAGCTTCTTCGCACAAACGCTTTTTTTTTACATCGAAGAAATTGATTTAAATAAAAGAAATTAAATCAAAGAAATTGAGAGTGTGAAGGAAGAAAAACAAAAAACAAAACACCACCCTTAAAAAATACCTTGCAGAGCAGTAAAAAGAGGCTTCCATGTTGAAATACCTACCCAGCATGGTGTAGAGGTTACTCAGGATGCGAGCTGGCTGTACTCTGAGCGGATGGATATCAGTAATGCTCTGAACATTTATGCCATGGTCTTGCAAGAGACTCTTAATTTGATTAGATTCTGCCAAAACAGTTACTGCGTGACAGAAAACAAAACCACTAGTAAGAACCAAAGTTCTCCTCTTTTTACCTGTCTCTACTGTCACCTCTCAACTACTGCACAGTTGACTAAAAATGCACAAAGGCCTCACTTCTTTCTTAATTTATGAGCCTGTGAGATCGTAAGGGATTGTAAGAGGGTGTCAGCCAGCTTTTGGCTCTTTGCTTCACGTCTTGCAATTCTTGTCCACTTTGGACCACAGGGTAATTCAAGTTGGAAGAGTCCTCACGAGGTCTCTACTCCAACCTCCCCCTCAAAGAAGGGTCAGCTCTGAGGTTAGACCAGGTTCTTTGGGGCTTTATAAGTTTCTTCTGATTTCTTTCAGTACCACTAGTTTGGATCATGCAGTCTCTTTCAGCAGATGGTGCTTTTCTCCCGTAAAACAAGGGGAAACCCAACGTAAAAATCTTCATTGTTTTAATACAGCACACTGTAACAACACAGCCAAGTCAATGGGGAACAAATGCCATTACCTGTATAGCAACACATATTACAGAGGCCATAAAATGGCAGAGGTAGGAAAAAAAAGTCCCAAAATCAGAGGAACTTACAATCCAGGCCTTGACCCAACCTCTTGTCCTGTTTGAGGTTTTGCCCATGTTAGCTGGCTTATTGGTTTGGGGCTAATTATTCAGTATTCTTCTTTGCATTACAAATACTTGCAAAGAATGCTAAAAATAAGCAAGCACTCATAGCTCTACTAGAAATTAAGCACTTCGGAACAGCAAAATGCCACCTCCATGAGACACCAACAGGGGGTAAACAGGCACCTGCCCACATAACAGTATCATTGGGAAAGGCTGCTCCTGATAAACTAGCTGGTTGCTTTTCTAGAGCGGTACAGGCCCTTGAAAAGCCTTTAACTCTTGATCAGCTGGTGTTTGCCCTCTGCTTGATTTTCTGGTTTTGGCTGTTCCCACATTGACAAAAGAAGACACTCCCCTGCAGTAGCCGAAGGATAGCTGTGAGTCTGGCTGCCTCACCTCTGTGTACAGAGAACGTCCCCACTCATTGCTCTCTGGTTCCTCCAAAAAGGGGCTGCACAGAAACCTAACTAAACTGACTGGTCTCCTGCCCTTTCTTGCTAGAATCCACCAAGACTTCCCTTTTCACGACAAGATTAAGTTTGCCACTCCCCAGTCCCTGACCAGTCTTAAAATGTTAATACGCATTTTTTAAAAGTTGTTAAACCTGATCTTCCCTCCAGGAAAATGGCAGCTAGGCAAACAACCCCTCTCCCCTTCTCACAGTAACACCAAAGCATCCATGTCCCATGTAAAAATCCACATTGTCTTTAAACTTGTCTGTCTTCTCTCCTGTATGTAGGGACTTCACCATCACATGAGCCAATTCATCCAGAATGTTTAAAAAATTCCCTCACCTTGTACCACAACGTCAGGTTTAAATCCGGTGGAAAATCTCCTGTTTAAGGGATCAATTTCACCTGCAGCAAGAAACCCCTAGAATAAACGCAAAAGAAAGAAAAAAGAAAGGAAACAAACAAAAATTAAGTGAAAGGCATCTCATAACATCTAGAAGAAATCTTAACCAATTTTCACATTTTATCAGGAGAGCAGGACTTAAAGCCTGGTTTCTCTACCCCGTCCAGTAAGTAATACATTCAGCAAAAACAATGGCTGCAGGTTTTTTTGGAACAAGAAAATGGTTATGACTGACACAATCTGCAAGTTCAGATTTCCCATTTTAGAGTTGCAGCAACTGATGCAATTTTGCCAGGCCAGTGATTTTTTTGCAGCCCCACAGAGATGTTCAGTGGTTCCTTTAACAAGTCCATGGCTAATATGGAACAACTCTGTAGGCATCTTACGCCACAGAGTAAGACATAGTCTAATGGAGCTGAAACAGTGCAAAATCCTAGCTCTAGGGCAACCAAGGCAGTCTGGGGGTATTCCTCTAGCCTAACCATGTAGCCAGTCCATCTGACAACTTATTCAGCTTGACTGGAAACAGACAATTGCATATCTATATACAAAAAAAAAGAAAGCTCCAGAAAGCTCACAGTCACCCCTCCATGGTTCATGTACATGTTTCTACTGGAAAACGCATTGTCCCCTACCTATCAACCAAATTGTACTTAAAACCCACCATCTCAAAACAAAATGAAATACAAGCTCACCTGCTACCCAAAAAACAATTACCTCTGCTAACAGGCAGCTAAGGACATACAATGATTGGCCCCAAAGATGAGGCAACTTTCCCAATGGGATACGATCCACTGAGTGAGGATTTTCATACTCCTCGTTGACCTGAAAACAAATGCATAAGCAAGAAAAATTACCCTAAAGTTCTAAAGAACAATCAATAACATGGAAGTATTTGAAAAAATATGGTCTATCACCTACCCTTTCTAACCTGCCATTATTACTGACATCCAGATCTCTTGGTTTTATTTTTAAGGCTGAACATTTTCTGGGACAAGAATTATGCTTACTTTTTGTCCGCCACACCACCCGTCGAAGCTGGAGGTTGAATGGGAACTCTGTATGCAATTATAGCTTTGGTGTTAGCACTTCCCCTTTCTTCTCACCATGCCTTTGCTGCCTTCCCTCTGGGCAGCTTGTAGGTAATTGTGCATCTGCTTTCCCACCCCTTGCAAGATGACACTTGAACTTCACTGATGCCTACCTAGCTTCCTGAAGTAAAGGTGCTTTCCAAAAATTAAGGCTATTCTACCTTTCCTGTGTTAGCAAGAAAGGTCAATGGAAAAATTAAGAGCAGTGTCTTATTAATTTAAAAAAAGAAAAACTGCCTTGGTTTTGCAGTATATAGATCTATTAAGGACAGGGGAAAAACCCTCCTAGATAACATCTTTACTACAGCCATTTTAAAATTTATAAATGACAGCCAAAATCCACCCTGTTTATTTGGCATGTTCATCAGATCATAATCGTATAAACATTCAGAAGGCGGCTCTGAACTCTTACACACTTGTTCCCACTAGGCAGGCAAATCAGAGTTTCCACCTCAGATCTGCAAGCAAGACATCAGGTGTCAACGCTCCCTGCCCAAACTCAGACCAACCCAGGAGGCTCCACACCCTTAATGACTGAGGGCTGAGATGTCCGGAGCAGGAGAAGAAGTTGGCGGGAAGGGATACAAAGGCAAATAGCATGGAAGTGCACATAAGCTTGTCTGAATTTCTCTGTCACAATGGGAGAATCAGGTAAACAATAATAGCAAAGATGGGAGGAAAAGAAAAAAAAAACAAAACATCCAGCCCAAACCCTAATTCATCTGAAACCTGTTTCTCCCACACACAAGCTCTGAAAAAGAAAAAGCACAATCAATCAATCAATCGACTAGACAGGCAGGACAGTCTAGGCTTTATTTCTTCTTTGAGCTTCAGTTCCTAAGTCAGCATCAGCACTTATTAAGTATATGTCTTGCTATGAGGATTTAAAACTTTAGACCTGCTCTAGTATTTCCACAGGCACTCAGATTCCCACATGAAAAATGTGACCATTTGTAAGTCTAAAGTTTACCATTTCTCAGCAGGAGCTCTGAGAGGTCTTATAACGTTTAAATAATGTGTAGTAGTCTTTTTTTATTGTTGGTTTAGATTTATCAGCTACAGGAAAACTATAAAACCGACATTCATCTTGATATCTCTACTTTGCATTTTCACAATACCTTTTCAGGAGGGACTGCATACAGTTCAGGCATCAGCACTATTCCATTCTTCTCTCTAATAAGTATTCCTTCCAGAGCCTCTCTATACTCTTGTACCTGAAAGTATTTTTAAAAGAGCGTGAGAATTCACATTACAGTCAGCAAAACAGAAACAGTAACGTTTTAGTACTTTCTAAAGTTCATTTAAAAAAAATAGGTGGGGGGATTATGACTTGCTGATGGAAGATCAGGGTTCAAATTCTCGGAGACTGTTCCAGCATCTCAATATTGTCAACCTCAGAAACATGAACACACCTCTTTAATCTATAACACACTACTCCAGTACAAAACTTCTAGCAAATTCCAATAAAGAAGTCACTGGAACAAATCCTACATGAAATTTGGAATGGAGGACAATGCAGTGACATGGATGTCAGGACTGCCAATCTCCATAAAAGTGTAAGGTCCATAAATTTTTAGCTTTCTACCATGCACATTTGTCTACAATTTTCTGCATTCTGCTTTGCAGGATTGGGAAATCAGTTTCTCTTAACTGAATTGCTTAAAAATTTGCCCTATCGAAAACTTAGAAGAGATTTAAACTGTTTAAAAATACCTAAGTTAACTGAACAGAAAATCCTCTTGTTCTTGCATTGCTAGACAAGATATTATGAACAGGAGTACCAGACTGACACAAAACAAAGAACATGTAATATTCTTTTTACCAGATCCTTTATTTTGTTCCATTTCTTAACTATCCCATTCCCATTCCAACTTTTTACTTACAGGGAAGCTGTTTTCAAGTGCTACCAGCACCTGCCCCTGAAATCTTATTTCTGCTATACCTTTCTGAGGAGAGTGGAACACACAAAGTAAGGCACCACTGGTTCATATTATGGTACGCTGATATTTTCAGTATCCTGTCCTTCTCCACTCTTTTTAACTCCTCAGGGTGCTTATTTTTCCTAAGAATTGCTGCCATTGCAACCACTTATTTGCAGCAATAACTGGGGAAGACTAGACACTCACTTGAGCGCCTCAGTGACTCACCAGCTATGCTTAAACTGTGGGAACCAGGAGCAATTGCCCGGTCTGAGGATGCCCTAGCACAGCCCACCTGCACACCATAAAGGCAACCAGGTACATACCGTCCCAAATCATCCAACTAAATTCTAGAGACTGCTTTGTGGTGTTTTATACACGACTGAAGTTTCAGGAAACACTGAATTTTTACCCCTCATGACATAATGTCATTTCTCCCTCCACCAGACTATTTTTACTGCGTTCGGGAAAGCAACTTACATTTCTAGTGTCAGTAAGTATTTCACTTGATTTACAACATCTGGTACAGGAAAAGGGCTTTTTGGTCTGAAATGCCCCATCTTGTTTCTGATGCCATTTTATTTTTAAGGGGTTATGTTTAGCCATCTCCTGTCCCTCTATGTACTAGTCAATTTTAAACCACATATCTTTTTGACTCCCTTCAAGCCACCAATCTACAGAAGTCTTGGTATGAATACATGTAGTCCTGGCTGCTTGTTGCTCTGTAATTCACCAATACTCTCCAGGTGCCACTATAACCTTTGGAGAGCCACCCTGACCACTGGATGCTTGACACAGTAAAGGCATGAAGTAACTTAGGGAATCATCAATTAACTTGAAAAATTAAATTAGTGAAAATGAAATAGCTCTTCATGAGCCAACCCCAAATCTCCCTGAATGTATGAAAGGACTCAAGGTACTACACATCTTGTTCTCAGCAGCTACGCCACAGAAACTGGGGGAAAAAGAAGCTGGTCTCATCCTGCAGTAGTTGGAAAAGGGGCACCAAGGTTGGCGATAAGACAAAATAAACCCTGCTTAGCTCAATTTGACCACGTCTGCTAACAGAGCTACTCCACCTGGTAGAGAGAGGGCAATGAAGCCCCAGTGTGCACAACACTGCAGCCTCTACCATATCACAAACTCCCTAGGAAGGTGAGATTGGCTGAAGACTACTCCCATCTTGCTGATGGGCTATCCAAGTGATACCCAAAACAAACATGGAGCAAAGCTACAAAATACTGTGGGTAAATGGCTTTGCATTTCCATTTAAAGTAATTTCTTCTTTCCTTACCTGAATTTTGTCCTCATTAAATACTCCATCGATTAGGAAGTATGTCCAGAACACTGGCCACTCACATTCAATATTCTCAAAGAGCTTGAGCTCAGCAGGATCATAGTGCAGCCTGCTTGGATCCTAGAAATTCAATCATACTCATTTAGTCACAGTGCTAAATTAGTCACTCGTATTTCAATCATAATGGTAGCCTGTTTTATACATGTAATTAAAACCGTGAAACCAATAAAAACACCAGAAATAGTTTCCATGCAGCCTCTTGACTTCTTTTTCCCATTCAGTCTCAAACTCATTTGATCGTTCCCCAGACAAATCAGCCTCTCCCAGTCTCAGAATCTAGGTGTCACCCAAATAATCTTGGCTCTGCCTTAGTTCAGAGATATTTTGGGATGCCTCAGAAACATTGCTTCCCCTTAGGCACCGTAAGTATATCTAAGGGTTCATTCCTTACAGAATTATGAATTAAGTTCTGTCCTTAATAATTGGTTTTCAAACCCTGAGTCTCCTTCAGATATGTGTTATTACTAGGATGGATACCTGGATTACCTCCAAATCCACTAAGATGTCTTAACAGTGATACAGAACTTCACTCCTTCATGTAAGATAAAAAATGTCTGTAAAACCAGAGATAAAATTCTTCCTAACGTCTACTGAAAATATATACCAGAACTACCTCTCTGGGTGTCTTGTAACCATCTCGGAGAAAGCGACAGCAGCCATAGCGGCCCTGTAAAAACAGACAAAATTATAGAAAACTTCACATACTGTTCTTCCCCACAGACTAACATCAGCACAAAAGTATATGCTGAGTTTTAAGCCTCTAAGCCTCTCTCCCACACACAGATGGACCACGTCTGGCAACCCTTGTTTAATTAGGATTCTTGGTTAAGAACGGAAGGTTCTGCTTCTCTTTCCCTCTGGAAAATAAAAATAAAGGAAATCCTTACCTGCAGTTTGGATATGATTTCACTCTTGGTCACATTAACAAGGTTTAGATCCTCCACTGCAAAAGCCGGGTAAGAAATAATGGAGAGAAGGCCAGCATCGATCTCCTTTGATGTGGATGCCCTTGGCAACATGGAGTATAGAATAGACTAAGCAAAACAGGAACAGAAAAGAGGGATGTTAAACAATTTACCTACTTCAAAAGACTATGTCAAGTGCAAATGGAATAGACTATACTATTTGCAAACTGACAGAGAACTCGCTGCATAATTATTTTTGACTGAGTTAGTACAAGAACACTTCGCACCACTCACTTTCACATCATCTACTAGAAACAGGGGGAACATCATAGTCTGAAGCCATCCTTACTACGTTCAAGTTCTTGGTTCTGTTAATCAACTTTTCATTAAAAAACAAAAGGGAGAAGGTGTTGGGTTTTCCCCTAGCAAAGGAAACAGAAGACTAATTTTTACCTGACAATGTTCTACTTCATCAGGAAGAACATGAATCACTGATTTGTGTCCTCCATGAGCTCCAAAAAGATCTAGTTCATCAATTGCTTCCAAAGCAGCCTTCAAAAAAACCCAAACAACAACCCAAAACTATTAAATACCTTTTAAGCCAAGTATACACCCTAGCATCTGCACTTATCCTTTGAAGAAAATTATACAAGACAAAAGTTTTCTTCACAGACATTTTTCATCTTTAAAGGAAATCACGCCAATTATTTTAGAAAAAGTAAGTATTTTTCTCTTTCCACTAGTAGGATAAAGGACTGATGTGCTGGTGACCCCTCTTACAACTTAAAGGCCATGCAAAGCAATGGAGAGCAGGGCTTCCACCGAGATAATATCTAAAGTACTTAGTAATAAATGCTTCTCCTGTACTATAGTCCAAAATAACCCCCACATTCAGTGGCCTTTCACTCCTCCTGCATGAAGGGCTGTTCAAAGAGGAAGGCTTGTTCAAGGTGCCCCAGAATCAGCAGATGCCAGTGCCCAGAGAAGAGAGCATCACCATCTCTCTGATACTATCAGCTCCCAAGGGAGAGAGAAACGAGTCGCCCGCTCTCTCCACAGCCAACCAAGGCATGGCACGCTCCACGTCAACAGGTGAATCACCACACCTCGCACCTCTTGACCATAGTGCATTTGCCTCGTGAAGACATTAGTAGCTCAACCACCGACTCCATTCGGGCACTCCTGCTTTAACCTGGCGGGATACAAAACCTGACTCTGAAGAAGCGGGGCGTGCGGCACTGCGCAGGGAACGCGGCAGGGAGAGCAAGCAGCGGACAGCCAGAGCCAGGACAGCAGAGCTGTCCCCTGAAATGCATATTCACAGGTAGCACTGAATGATGGTCCATGCCCAGTTTTTCCTGCAGCTTTACAGTAATGTCAACCTCTGACAAAGGAAGGACCGCACAGCACAGCTTGCCTTAACTCACTGCAGAGGGGCAAGGGTGTTTTTCTTCTTCCAACACAAACACGGGATAACGGGCTCTGCAGAGCCCCTCTCTCTAGCCAGGTGCTGGAGCAGCAGATAGACATTACTG